GGTTTCAAATACAAAAGTTGAAGAATACAGCAATTACCTCTCTGCAATAGTATTGCGCATCTTCATAATTTTGTGTAAAAATTTCAATTAAAATTGAATAGTTTGGGTCAAGTTTATAGCCAAAGACACTGTGAACAACCTTATTAAACTTTCTCATTGTTTCCAAGAGTGGATACACTTTAGCAGACATTATCAACTAAAGTTTGTCGCAACTTTTAAGTTTCTCTCTACACGTGTTTCCTTCAAATACTCTTGACCCAATCTATAAATCCAGACTAAAGCTGCATTATAAATTCTGCCATATGGTTAACAAATCCCATCAAAATGGAAATAATAATTTTTTATCCTTTTAAAAATGATAAATTTGTGATGAATGATATATTTTTAAAATATTTACAATATACAATTTTATATAATAACTTAATTTATAAATATATTGTTGGGTAAAAAAAACCATTTCCTAATATATTGCTTACCTCATATATATTATTATCTTAAAACTATTTAAAAACAACATACCGAAATTCCTAGCAATATGTTGATTAACTTCATGTCAGAAGCCAATGAGTACTTGTATTCATGCAACTTCAATCTTTCCACTACCCTTGCCATGTTAGAATGATTCTCACTTACCCTTTCACATTAAGCTAAAACAAGTGATGTATTTGCCCCTGAGTATGATCCTATGGAGCTGCTATCTTCTGCCCTGTCCTTAGTTGGATCAAACATTTACTATTACTTTTAATGATCTTCCACTTAGAAATATATATCTAAATACATGCACACATACATATTTGTTTGTAAACATGTAAAATTAAAATTTTCAAAAATATGTTTTCAAAATGATTGTTATTGAAATATTACAAAATACAGAATTTTTGTAATATCTTCAATATATACTAAGTCTATATAATACTTGTGAAAACTCAGGCTTACAGAAAATTTGAACCAGACCTTCTAAATTTTTTTTAACTGGAATACATTTGTAGTTCTTTTCAAGGTTGCAGCAGCAGATGATCTTTTGAAAATGTACATGATCTCTTTTAAAATAATATTCTCTACTTTCTTTGAGAGCAGAAGAGCCATAGATTAAATATATTAGGTATCTATATTAATATATGGGTAGCTATATTTTAATATAAGTATAAGTATCTATAATAAAATAAAAATAAAAAAGCATAGTCAAAAATAAATATTTTTATTACAAAATGTTTTTTTGACCAACTTTGAGTATTCTTATAATATTTATGCATAAATATTGGATTAAAGACCTTGAAAAATTAGTATATGAATATTTTTTTAAATAAATTTAAACTTTCTGTCAGTATATTTAGTTTTTTTAACTACAAAAAAAAAAATGACTTTTTAGAAAATTTGCAATGTTAATTTTCTAAATATGTGATACCTCCCAGATTTTTCTAAATATGAAAATAAAGTATCCAGATGCCCCACTTACTATAATTATTAACATTTTCGAGGTATTTTGATAGTAAACTTAAACCTTGAATTTCTGAACTGTGCACCGTGTATTAACCAAATTTCAGCTAATTTAAAATCTGAATTATACTATTTTTAGGAAAGAACAAAACCATACCATTCTAACCAAAAATATAAATATTTATTTATGTCCTATATTTATATTTAAAAAAAATTATTAAGAATATTTATGTTAGTATTTTTATTTTTTTTTTCTAATTTTTTTTTTATTTTAGGTGCCTCAAGAAGTCCTTACGGTCTTATCACAGAGCACTGTGGATGAGCATTTGATTGGAAGTTGACGCCTCCTTTCTAACCGATGTTGCAAAACTTGCCCAGAGGTGGGGTTTGAACCACGGAACATTTGTTTCTGAGGCAAGTACACATCCACTGCGCCACAGCTGCTCAAAGTATTGCCCTCAAGACTTTTAAAAGAAGTCATTTTTAGTCATTTTGTGGTTCTTTTTTTTGAAGAGTGATTCGATAGCGCTCAAGTTTTTTTGGAATTAGTTCAAACATATTTGCTTCAAATTTAGAGGGTTTTTTCAATTCAAATAAACTTTTTTTTCATGAACAACCCTAATATATATATATATATATATATATATATATATATATATATATATATATATATATATATATATATATATATATATATATATATATATATATATGTACATATATACATATATATATATATATATATATATATATATATATATATATATATATATATATATATATATATATATATATATATATATATATATATATATATTTGTATATTTTATCACTTACAGGAACAGATTTTACAAAAAACGAACACTTACGGGGACATTAGAAAGTAAGGAGAATTAAGGAGAAAATGATTACATTAAAAACAGAATCTTATTTTTTTCAAGGAATTTTAAATATAACCTGAAAAATTATTATAAATTAATATATTACTTTATATATATACAAATATAAATATATAAATATAATAGAAGTATAGGTCTGCAAACTATCAAAGAAATATATATTTGCTTCTTTATTAATAAGTATAACCCAATCACTTTAATAAAATTTCTTGGATGATTAAAAAAAAAAAAAAGAAGAAATTAAGGAGAGATTTTAACTTATTTTGAAGGTTTTTTAAGGACTTTTAACAAGGTTTTTTTTTTTAAAGGATATTCAAGGTTTTTAAAGAGAAGCGGGAACCCTGTAAAATTTAGAATCCATAAAGAACTTTGCTCAAGGAATTCAAACAAACTACTCTAGGACTTGATAGTCTTAAGAAGTCTTAAGCCTCATTTATCTAATTATAAGTCCAAAATTTTTTTAAATTTGGACTTATAAATTATTGATTTTTGGAGCTAAAATGCCCCCGAAATTGCTGGCAAAAATTTTGATTGTATATCATTTAGATTCATGTATTGTCTCTGTAATATTTGATCAAAGTAAGCACTCAAAAATAACGCTTTTTAATATTTTTGAAAAACTTAAATTTTGTAATGTAGGAGATTTTTTAATTGAAACTTTGTTGCTATTTAATTTAAAGGGTAACCCCCCCCCCCACCTCATAACATAAAAATGATCAGCTATTTCTAAAAAAGAATTTAGAAACATAATGAAAAAAATGTTTTTAAATTTTCAAATTGTTTTGTTTGTATTTTGAACTTGGTCAATTGTTTAGTTACATTTGAATTCATTTTCATTATTTGTTTCAAATTGTTAAATGCTTAACACTTTAGAATATTTTTGGAATAAACGCTATGGTGTTTTGAAAGTTTGAGTTAAGATTATCTTTAAAAACCATATAACATATGCAAGAATTTTATTGTTTAGTTGTTCTTTAAGCTAGTGATATTACAATAAATATGGAAAAAAGTGACACTGGAAAAATTCTCAACAAAACTGGATTTTCTAAAAAACAAGGAGGGATGGGATCAAAAAGTGAGAAAAAAGTCTGATACCTCTGTAGATATGTTTGGGATTTCACCAGCCAAATTGAAAAGTGTTCTGAAACACAGCAAAATAAAACTTTAGCAACACTATAGACAGGGTATTGGTGAGACTGTCAAAAGAGTAATTTGTTAAAAAAATAAGTGTGGTGTATCCACAGTATTTGATATTATTCCAAAAAATAAAAATAATAAAGAGATTTCATTTAACATTAAAAAAATGGACTATATCACAATTTTTTATGATGAATTTTAGTGGAAAAAAAAGTCAGATTTATGCAACAACATGGACCAGAAATGATGAGTGCTAGGTGCTTAACTCCAAAGTTATACCCATAATTTTCACACCCACAACAATATCAGGTCGTACATTTGACAAATTTGATTTAAATTTAAAGAATATAAAGAGTTTATTACAAAAAATCTAATAAAAATATAAACATTTAAAATAATGCTGTTGTAATTTATTTAAATATTTTTAGTAATTTAATATTGTTTTTTCTTTCTTTTTTTTTTTTTTCAAATCCGGTGAGAGGTAAGGAGAGGGTTAGGGAAAAGTTGAACCTCCCTTTGCCGCCTTTGCATGCCCAAGACTAAATCTGTGCTAAACTTGTTTATAAATAATTCTACATTGAAATTTTAATTAAAACAATTGTTTTAAAAACATTTTATTTTCATTGTTATAAATTTTTTTTTTTTTAAATCTGAGATATTATTTTTGAATGCTTACTTTGATCAAATAATACAGAGACAATACATGAATCTAATTTTTTTCAGTAGAACTACAATAAATTAATGATATACAATTAATATTTTAGCCAGCAATTTCAGGTGGCAGCCTCTATTTTAATCAATAATATGTCAATAACTTTGAAAAAAATTGGATAAACAAAGCATTTCTTGAGACATCAAGTCCTAAGAGTAATTTTTTTGAATTCCTTAAGCAAAAGTCTATTTGGATTCCAAATTTTAGGAAAATTCTCTGAATCATTATCAAGATATTATATTTCAAAGATGCTTTGTGTTCTTCAGATAAAAATGCGAATGTCAGCATTATTTCAACTGACACTCAATAACCCATGTATATTTTTAGCTGAAATTTTTGAAGTTATTATTTATTCAATATGGACTGCAAATGAGGTTAAAATAAAGCAATTTTGAAATGTATGGGTGACAAACATTTTTTTTTGATGATTTCATATAGAATGACCAATGTAACCATATAAATTAGATTTTTTTAATTTATTTATGGTTACATTGATAATCTAATAATGATAATCTTTAACATTTAAATGTTGACGATCAAACATCATGACATTCAAACATCATGATAAAAATGATTATTAAAGATGTAATTTAAATTTAAATATATTTTTTTCACTATTGTACTGAATTCAATTTCAATGTATTAATGTAATTATAGTTATTTAAATATCTTGGACAAATTCTTTATTATTATTACATACCACATAAAATAATTAACATATACAACATAATTACAAACATAAATATAACATAATTATAAACATAAATACACAACATAATTACAAACAAAAATTAACTAATAGTTATGCTAGTTACCATTCCTTTGTAAAAGAATTCCATTCTGTTTTGTGTTCTTTAAGAAGTATACTTTGTACGACACCATCAACAGCAGTATTGTAACACCCACGAATTGTTTTACCTTCAGACTCTACTATACCAATTACAGCACTATATGGAAGGGTGCAATCATTTGAATTATTTAACTCTGCTATTAAATCGTTGTTGATTTGAAAAACTTTAACATTCTAAATCCCCGAAAATACATTTATGATAAAAAGGCTGTTAATAAAAAAGTAATTATAATAATCTATATCTATTATAATTACTTTTTTATTAATATATATATATATATATATATATATATATATATATATATATATATATATATATATATATATATATATATATATATATATATATATATATATATATATATATATATATATATATATATATATATACACGTGTCAGATATTAGACCTACAAAAATCTCGACCTACTAAGTTGCTCTACAAAAAGAACATCTACTAAAAAATGGAACCAGTTTTCAAATAACCTACTGAGGTTAAATTGTTTTCAACCAACTAGTCTTTTTTATTTTCAACCAATTTATGATGTTTTTGTTTTCGAACATGTATTTTTCAAACTGTTTTATAGATTTTCATTTTAAATTATTATTATTATCATAATAATAATTAATCTTTTTCCTCAGACAATTTGAGAAACCAGGTGTTTCTTAATTCTGGCTCTTGAATTTGCTTTACAATCCTTTCTGACTATGTTTATGATGGTGTGCACACTGAGAGCTCTTTAGTCTTTTTCTCATTGACTTTACTGGATTCTGAGAAATTTGGCCTTGAACAGCTTTAATCAGCTTCCTCTTAACACAACCAGTCATTTGAAATTGTTTAATTACAGATTAGACAATACTTAGAGGCTTGTTTAGCATCTTGGAAATGTCATTGGATGTGGTGCCATTTATGGCTATGTCAACAATTGGTTTATTTTTACTACTCGTTTTCACTTTTTGTCTGTTTTTTTGGTTTATTTTTATTTTCAAAGTTTTATGTGTCAACAAGAACTATATGGGTACCAAAAATATACCAACTAAACATTTATTTTGAAATTACCAAACTTAATATGAGATTTGCAGTTGCATACGATATATAATCAAGTTGAATTATTTATTTATTTTAATTTTTTACATTTTTATCAGACAATTAGAAACCGAATACTTTTGCAAGTGCTTGGCATCATCTACTGGATGCTTTAAATTTTTTTGAAACTGATATTCATTTTTCTTTAAATTTTTAATATTTGTAGCAAATTTCTTGGTTCTCAAAAAGATTCCATTCATAATTGAACAATAAATTTCAATAGCTTGCTGTTCGGAACAACTCAGAGAATTTGCCTTCCTATGCTTTTAAATAAATGGTAAAAGGCGTTTCTTTAAGCATTTTTTATACACAAATCTGCATTCAAATTTTTACAAAAAATGTATGTTGTTCTATTAAAACTAGGAAGCAAATTTCTCAGTTTGAATATACTTAAATTTTTACCAACATATCTACTATTTGACTAATAAAAATACTGCTGGCCTGGCAATTGTGAAAAATAGTTTTTGCACTAGGTTTCATTGTCTTCATCATGCACAAGTTTCTCAGTTTAATAGCTTATATAGCTTTTTTAAACAAAGAATTGCTTTAATTTCTCCATTTGCTTTAAAGTTTTTTTTTATGGTATGCTTTATATTCTTGACATTTAAGAAACTTTCCTATTAGTGGCGTGCTGAATCCAGAAGATAATTGCCTATACGGCCCACATTACAGCTCACATGGGCCTTATAGCCATTTATCTTCTAATAAAAGTAATGGGCATGTTTTTTAAAACTGTGGTTTAACACTTAAAGAAATTCTAGCTGTGTAAGTCTTAAAGCAGTTAAACTTTTATTTATAATTATAATAATATAAAAAAAACTTTTATTTATAATTCAACTTATTATTTATAATTTTAATAATTTTTATAATGTCTAGTTATCTATAACTCACTTACTTAACCTTATAAAAATAACTTCAACTCAAAACGTTGTTTTAATAGTTAAATGTAAATAAAAATTATACATTGGTTTTTTTACACTCTTGTAATCATTCGACCTTCATTTGAAATTTATTATTATTACCTTTTAAAGCAATAATGCTAATGCTATTTTTTATACAATGCTATGTAATGCTAATTAACTTACTTGATATATTGTTACATGCTGTTATAAAATGCTTTATAACTTGTTTAAATCCTTTTATTTTTCCACTTCCAGCTTCTTTTTCAATAGATTGAGTGTGTGTATATTTCTGCAAAATAAATTTAACTTATGATTGAGAAACACCAATCAATTTTGAAATTTCAACATGCATTGAAAGATTTTAAAGAAATTTTCAAATTCTTTTTTTCGATTTCTTATTTGTTTATTCATTTTTATCTGATAATAATCATGAACAATACTTATTACCATTACAATCAAACAATCAATCAAAAAATAGATTGGCTTCTGTGTGAAAAAAAAAAATTTGATTTGCTAATTGTTTTGGAAATCAATTTATCTGTCTCTTCAGATAGCTGAGAATTTTAGACGAACAAAGAACAAATTAAAATTTTTAAATAATTTTGAATCAACTTTATGCATTAAGGTTTATAAGTACAACTCTTTTTATTTTTGACAACATTAAAAATAAATTTGTAATTCAAAAGAAACTAGAAATTTGTTGAAAAAATAAATGTAAATAAAGCGAGCAGTTAAATAATAATAAAGATAGCTATGGTTAAAATTTGCTATTAATGGCTCAATAGTCTACTAAAAAACTCATTGAAGGTTCAAAAAGTGATTTTTCTATTAATAATTTACCAACATATGGAGACGCTTATAAATTCTTTTACTCTGTCCAAAAATAGTCAATAAATTTAAAAAAAACCATTAAAAATTTGATTGAATATAAATCTAAAATTGCCCTTATTAAAAACTGGGTCAATTTATTTAAAACTGGTAAAATATATAACACAATAAAACTTATTAATAGGAAAAAAGTGCAAAAGAGGACCTCAAATTGCAGTATATAGTGTATCAGAAAACTTTATGATACATCTGCTTGCAGATGCAATTAATATAAAGTTCCCTGCTATGACGATAGAGTGAAATACAAAAATCTAACCTGCAGTAATAAAATTTTTGTATGTGTTTCATCGCCAGAAAGCAAGGTTAGTTTAAAACTTTTTCAAAAAATAGCTTGTAAAGTATATACAGACAGAGTATGATCCAACTTGATTTGAAATTAAGAAATCTAAGAACTTTACTGAAGAATTTTAAATACAAAATTAAAAAGAATTAAAATTTTTGACCAAACTATGCAAGACATTACACTACCTGTTGTTTTAAGAAATTTCTCTTCTCTTCTCTCAGTAAACTCTCTTTGTAGATGATTTGAAAGATGAACAAACTTAAGCTGTTAGACTGATATAAAAATGTAGAGACAGTCCCCCCATTGATGAAATCTATGGTGGCATTAGAATTAACAAAATCCAAAACTTGAAAATTTGATTGTTGAGTGTTACACATGGAAAGAGCTTGTTTCTGATGATCAACTAATCTATGAGCCTCCTGCTACTAAAACTTTATCTTGTCAGGAACTTTTTAATATGATTAAACGCAGACCAGATCCTAATGAGCATAATTCTATAAAAGAATAGGAGGCATATATATTTATTGTTTTTAACTTTGTCAAGTGGAAATTCCTGTCCATATCCAATAGAAGGTAGGGTCTTGATTAATTTTTTGTCAGTGTTTTTTCAGTTAACATTTCTAATTTGTAAAGCTGGTTTCTATTAAAAAAAAAATTATTCTAAAAGTTTAACAGTTTCTTTGTTTATAACAGGTAAGAATTAATAAACAGAGGTGGGTTCGTGGTGGTGGGCTGGGTTCTTAATATGCTTAGGGTGGGTGGGAAAAGTTTCCAAAAGATAACAAATTTCACACCTCAAGTTTTAATCACCTGAGATTAGTTTTACAATAAATCATAATGCTAATAATTAAAAAAATACTTATTGTTATATTAAGTTTTAAGTCTTTTATTTTAGGCATATCAATAATAAAATTTGCTTAGGTAAAATAAACTTTTGGGTGAAAAAAGGTAACAATTAAATTGAAGGAAGAAACTGTAATCATTAAAATCTATGTAGTATATCAACTTTTTTTTTAAATTTTCAGCCATCATTGCCAACAAACTGGACTCTGAGATATAGGATTTCTGAAAAATTGGATGGCAATTTAAAGCATTTTTGGCCATTGAATTGCAATTTACCAAATGTCACACACTGTTTTGTGATACATGTGGTATACAGCACCAAGGAGCAAATGAGGCTCCATAGATGACAGAACTTTAAGAATGAGCTTGTCATCTGGCAATTATACAACAGAAAAATGGGTTATATTGTTGAAGTCTTTAGCCATTTTTGAGTTACCCCCTTTGCTCTTGAAAATCAAGTAGTTTCTTTTGATGCACCAAAATCCTCCTCAGTTTCATGCTTTATAAAGCTTGCCAGATTCTCACACCAGCAGCAATGGTGCTTGCTGCTGTGTGCTTGAATATCACATATAATATTATATGACATTCAAGCACACAGCAGCAAATTAATTCAAGGTTGGTGGGTATAACGAAATTGATGTTGTTTGTAAGAATGAGCTCAAACTTGATGTTGAAATATGTATCTGTAAAATTCTCAGCTAGTGCAATCAAAAACAAATGTTAAACAGCTGTATCTTTTGTAGCACCAGCTGTATTTTTTGTAGCTACAGCTGTATCTTTTGTAGCACCTCTAGATGGTAGACTCTTTTTGTTTTAGTATCGAGCAGACACTCATTTTCAGTAATTCTCCACAATCAATGCCAAATTTCACAAGTAATCTTTTAGATTGGCTCCTGTTTTCTGCTTCTTTTTTGTTTTTAATGATAACACATGAATAACTTGATTTGTCTCAGAATTTGAATAATTTTTCTCAATTAATCTAACTGTGAAGAAGTTGCCAATGTTTTTTAGAAATACAACTCAACAAATCTGTCAGCACTAATTTGATTTAGGGTGGGTACCATGTCCTCATACAGTTGTTTGATAAATCTGTTTTGGTTGGCCATCTTTAGACAGTCAAAAAACAGTGATTTTTTGGTGATGGCCTACAAAATTTAATTAGTTTAAATTGTGCATAAATTAAATTTTAAATATCACCTTTTTCTTGAGTTTAATAGTATCTTCAGATATTGGCTCTGCATTTCTGATGACAGAGAAAGCTTTATGTTAAGCTACTTTTGAATCAGTTCCAACAAACTTTCTGAGGTTGTCATGAAATATGCATCTCTGTGAAACACCATGTTTGGACAGTCAAACATCTGACACAGCATTTCTCAGCACTGACATTTCAGTTTGATGCACATCTTGCAGAAGAGTATGTTTCTAAAGGGTAAACATTTTTTTGCTTCAGTCTTCCACAATATCAGACAACAGTCCTTGTTAAAAAGTGTCGGGTGAATAACATTTTGCATTTGCAAGAATTTTACATTACACTATTATTATTACATTATGCTAAAAACTTTTTTTGTTTGATAATGTTTTAGTACTAAGAGTATTTAGATGCTTAATATTATAAAAGATGCTAAGTAAACAGGATGAGGCGATTATTAATTTCAGGAAAATTTTCTTATCCACCCAAGTTTATTTAATACCTTCCCCCCCCCCCCCCCCTCTTATTTAATAAAATTTACTTGTTATCAACGAAAAACATCTCAAAACTAAAAAAAATTATATTGAAAACAAAATAAATGTTAAAAAATCTACATTAGACCAAAAGCCACAATGTAATTGTTTTAGGCATGTCCTGTAAAAAATTCACACACACCTTTTTATTAAGCATAGATAATCTTGGTCATATTTTAAAAATCTGGAATATTGTTTGGGTAAAATATCAGGAAAAAATCTAGAATATATTTTCTTCTTAATTTCGCTTTTAGCTGAGTTGTTTATATATTTTTTTCAAACTTTTCTTAGCTTTGTATAAGTGATGAGTGGAAAAGATTAAAAAACTTATATATTACAAAAATAGGAATACATTTTTGTAATATATAAGTTTTTTAAACTTGCATGTATGGTAAATGTTTTGGATATCTGAAAAAACTAAGTTGAGAAAAATATCCAGATTTCTGGAAATATCTGGAAAAAGATAATCGCTGATTAAAACATTTATTAGATCTGGACTAAAATTCCAAACCTCTTTTATTCCCTTCCCTTCCCCACCCTATCCATTTTGAATTTGGCACACAAAAGTACATGATTTTATTGATCAATTAATTGAAAATGATTTTATTTCTTAAATAATGAATATACAATAACAATTAAAAAATATAAACAGTATTAGGTACATTTATACAATAAAACTTATACAATTATGTAAAACACTACTATCCTAAATAGCATTCAATTAGAAATTGCAATTTTTCAATTTTATGCTGTTTTTACACTAATTATGACATGTTATTAGTAAGATGATACTTTTAATAATATTAAACTATTGTTTTATTAAGTAAAATAAAGAAATATACCTTTAAAATATTCATAAAACTGCTTCTGCGGTAATAACCATAATAAAATAATCCTGATATAATACTTGAACCAAGACACCAATACAAACTTTGGTAAGAAATATCTCTTGACAATGACATAACAGATTATTCTAGCATATATATATATATATATATATATATATATATATATATATATATATATATATATATATATATATATATATATATATATATATATATATATATATATATATATATAAAATATATATATATATATATATATATATATATATATATATATATATATATATATATATATATATATATATATATACACATTATAATATTATAACTACATGTTTCATCAAATAAAACTACATACCTTTTATAAAAAAGGCATGTAATGACTACTAATATATATATATATATATATATATATATATATATATATATATATATATATATATATATATATATATATATATATATATATATACATATACATATACATATACATATACATATACATATACATATACATATATATATATATATATATATATATATATATATATATATATATATATATATATATATATATATATATATATATATATATATATATATATATATATATATATATATATATATATATATATATATATATATATATATATATATATATATTAGTTGTAGTATACTTGCAGATTGCACAAGTATTCTACTGGTTTTATTTTTAATGTTTGGGTTCGGTATCGCTCATTCAAAAATTATTTTTTTTACACTTTGATATTATTTCTGTTTTTTTTAGTAATAGTTACTACTATCTTAATATATTTTGGAAACTAAATATTTAAATTAAGAGTATTAATCTAGAAAAAAAATGTTTTGTGGAAACGCGTACGGTTAGACCACACCATAATATTTTCTTAGACAACTTGACCGTGGCCGTTTGCATACTTTGAAATATTAAACGTTTCAAACAATTAACAGAACAAAATTAAGTTAACCTGAACAAAAAAAAATAAAAATAAACTAAAGGAAGTTAAAAAAAAAATTATAAAAGAAATAAACTAAAATTGTAAAATAATAAGTGTAAAACTAAAATAAAACTCAGTCTAAGAGAAAATTATCTAAAAGTTATAGTTAACGTTAAGTAACTAACTTCAAAACTTTGATTTTTTAAAAACGATTTTATATTACAGTGTAACAACACAAAACTGTTATATACACAAACAAAAGTTAGTCTAAGTGTATATACAAAAACAAAAGTTTGTGTAATTTACACAAAACTCTTTTGAATAAAGCAACAAATTACTTTTAATCAATGTTTGTTTCATCAAAATATTTATTTAAATTACCATAAAATATTAAATGTAATAAAAGTGATTTTTTATTTAAAAGTATGTATTCTTTGTTATTAATATTTTAAAATAACTATTAATTATATGTATATATATTATGAGAAAAGCCATTAAATAATAAGAAATTACTTCAAACGATTGCTTATAATAAAAAAATTTATTTAAATTATCAAAGAGTAATTTATTTGTTTCATGTTTTTATAATGTTCAAAGAAACTTTTCTCTTTTTTATACAGTTTTTAAAACTTTATTACTACCCCTAACAATAAACCTAAAGAACATTATTTTTGCTCAGCAGTGTTAACTTGATATTAGTTAAAATCTTTTGAAAAAGTGCGTTAATCCACTATAGATCCTAGCGTTTATAATTATTTTTTTTATTTTTGTATTCTTAGTTAGAATATAAAGCTTTGAAACTTTGACATTTTCTACAGATTTTTTTAATATGAAGCTTTTATATGATTTTTTTTTTTTTAACTTATATTTTTAATATATTCTCTTTCGATAAAAATGTTTACAGATTTTATTTTATGGGTGGCCGCACAAGGCGAGCGGTCGCACACGTATCTTGTAACAGCCTGCTCTTATAAACAAATTGTACCTGCCAAAATCTTAATCTAGCTCGACGTATGCATTGAAGTTCTACTTATTTTAGTATGGTTTCATCAGTAACTCACTTCATGCACTGGTATATCTGAATTTATAATGATATATATAGTATATATATAATTTTAAATTCATTGGAACTTATAATGGAATGTAACAGTTGCATATTCAAAAGTAACACTTATTTTTTATTATGGCCAGTTGATGTTCTGAGTATTTGAAAAAAAAAAAAAAAAATTATAAAATCTTTGACTGACCCCCATTCATAGGTAATGAAGAATCTAACCATAGCTTTGGATTGTTGCGTTATTCAAAAAAAAGATTTTTCCTTACTTATAGGTATTATTTGGAAAATGAAAAAAGATCCACCAAATAAATAAAAGATCATCTCACTAAATTAAAATACTACTTGCGTTCAAAATAAATAGAAACAACAACTTTATCAAAGGCTATAAGAGATTTGTAAACAGGATGACAGAGTTAGCCCTGATGTCTAATAAGAACTATTTTTGTGTGAATTGGTTTTGTTTACTTACTCTTATTTTGCCTACTTGCGATAATTGTTCTCCAAATCGATGATTGTTCTCCAAATCAATCATTGTTCTCCGAATCGATTATTGCGATTATTGTTCACCGAGTTTGCGATGTTTGTTCTCCGAATCGAGCCAAACTTTAAGAGAGTAAACCATTTAAAATGTAAACTAACAAAAATTTACTTTGTACTTTAGAACAAGATGTAATTGATAAGTAAGATTGTCACTTAAAAGGTTTTCTTAAGTTTTTTCAACGTATTATTTTGTAAATATTATTTTTTTCAACTTTTCTGTTAAGTTTATCTTTGTTGTTATCATCGTTTTAGTTGCTTTTATTTTTGATATTGCTATTAAAACAAACCCAAGGTAGCCACATTTTTTTTATTTAAAAAGTTATGAAATTTAGGATAATAAAGTAGGTTATACAAGATTCTTTAAAAAGATAAACATTAGTGAAAGAAAACCGTGAAACTTAAAATAATGAAAATTTCTCAAAAAATTTCTCTAAAATAATGAAAATTTCTCAAATTAAAAAATTTGAGAAAGATTTCATAAAATTGCACTAAAATATTTTTAGTTTTAGCAGCACATTTAACTTTCAAGATTTTAATCTGTAACAGATTTAACTTTTAGATATTCTTTACATTTTACCGAATACAAATCATTGGGACATTTTTGTAGCGATTGCTTATAATTATTACTTATGACAGAGAACAGAACTTTTGATATTAACTAGATCGAATAAATGAAAATTTTACATAATATTTTAAATATATTTATTTATATTTAGACACTATAATATTACTTTGGGAAAGTATACTGCCTCTGGCATATACTGTCTTCGGTGTAGCTGGTAATTCGATAACAATTCGGTGACAAATCGATGACAAATCGATAACAAATCAATAAAATGTAGTGTAAACAAGTGGAAGTGTAAACAAAACCAAATACAACTCTTTTATAATCTCTATTAATATAAAAAATGTTGAAATTTAGCTTTATTTAGCAAGCATATTTGATGATTATATTTGTTGCAGGTCTGGGTACAAATGTGTTGGAAATACATGCTAATGGCAGCAAACGCAACCAATGTATTAAGTGCTTAAGTGAAAAATCTGAAATACAAAGAGTAAATTAATTTTCAAAGAAATAAAATATATACAGAAAACTACCAAGTTTCTCAAATGTAGTATGCTTTTAATTTTGAATTTTAAATTTTTATGTAAAATGTAAGGTATATTACATGTCTTACATTTTATCGAATACAAACCGTTTATAACTATTTTCATTTAACCAAAGTTCTTGAAATTTAGTCTTATAATCAGAGCCGTAACCACAGGGGGGGGGGGCTAGGGTCTAGGCCCCTCCCCTCAAAAAAAAAAAAAAAACTACAATTATTAGGGAAAAACTAATATATTTTATAAAACATTTTATCCCCTCCCTCCTTTAAAAGAATTATAGGCTATAGTTCTTGAGGTTGGGGGCTTTTCCCATGCTATGTTTGGGCCTCTCCCTATCTCTGGGCCCCTAAAATGGGTACCCAAAAAAAAAAAAAGGACCTCAATATGTAATATGGATCCCCTAATATGAAAATTGTGGTTACGGCTCTAATATTTGATTGGCGTTTGCTATTCTAAAAATACAAATTTTTTTTTAGATTAACTTAATTAAATTAAAAATTTTTATTTTAAGATTCCAAGTACTTCCATTGCCAGAAATATGAAATAGAACTTAAATTTTATTGAATAAAATTTTTTTAATTGAAAACATATTTAGTATCAAAAATTAATTTAGAACTAATTTTTATTTAAATTTTTTATTTTTTCCATTAGTAAATTATTATCAAAAGCTGAATAAGTGAGTTAGAAACTGACTCGATGTTCACGCAGCAACAGTTTAGCTATTACTACTATATTGCGTTTGAGTAATTCATTTTTTTAAAAAGTATACAACTACTCAATGCAACTAAGGCCTGTAATTAAATTAAATACCAATAAAAAAAAAAGTTTTTCGGTTTGCCACTAACAACCAATCGGATTTGTTTTAAATTATCGGCGTTTTTTTTTTACGAGTTTGTTTGTTCTATGCCTTAGTTGCATTGAGTATACTATTTTATATTAATATAAAATAGTATACTCAGGCGCGGATCTAGGGTATAGCCGTTGTGGCTAAGGCTACACCTTAAAATAATCAACCAAATAAAAAACAGTATAATACTCCGACATATTTTCAAAATAAAGATAATATAAATAATCAAGATAAGTTTATTTTTATTTGCTGTGTAAATTCGGCTTAAAAAGCGATTACTTAGAACTAAAAAAACCGAAATTAAAAAAAAGATCGGTCATTGCATATCGGTTTGTGGCTGAGCCACAAACGAACTGATTTTTCGGCATAAGCTGACTAAATTATTGTTTTTTTTAACGTAATGTATTTTTATTGAAAAGTCGTGTGCCGTCAACACTCGTAGCCCGTGGCTAGATTGCTTTTTGCCTTGTGGCTATACTTATTTCCCAGACTTTTTATACCCAGCTATATTTAAATAAGGAAAGCGCCGTTATTACTTTCTTAGTAAGTTGGTAATCATGGCGGATATGTTTTGAAAAAAAACTGTTCCAAATGCTATTGATTCACATTCATAACATTAAATGT